TCCCCGCGTCGTCCTAGTAATTCTGCCAGACACAGAGGGCAAAATGGGAATTTTAGAATTACAGAATTCTAAAATTAAATACTCGAAAAATAATTAATTGAGAATTAATTATTATTATTTAAATAATGTGATTATTTAAATTTGAATTTGAAACACATCTAGATTTATCCATTTAAACTTATTTGATAAGTTGTTCAATTTAGAATTCAAATTAATTTAAGTGTGACTTAAATTGAAATTTGAATTTGAGTCACAATTGGACTACAGGATAAAGGATGATTTTCTCTTCCTTCCCTATCTGAAAATTGGCGCCATGCATGGATGAAAATCCTCTAAGGTGGCCGGCCACAATGGATAAGGGATAGAGGAGATTTTGTTCCAAAATTCAAATATGAGATCATTAACAAGCTTTATCTTGGAGATAGAGATTGGATTCCTTCTAGAAGTTTGACTTCAACTCTATAAATAAAAGGATAATAGAAAATTGCCAGTGACAATTTTTGAAATAATTTTTCAGCCCTAATTGTTAAGGCTGGCCGAAATTCCCTTGGTAGAAAGAAGGAAAAAAATTTTCTCCAAAAATTTCACATCGTGCATGCGTTGGTGTTTGTGGAAATTTGAGTGTTTATTGTAACCCGTTTTGTCTCATGTGTGCCCACACACACGTCTTCGTGGATTCTAGGAATTGACGTGGAAGACATTGGTTTTCTAAACACAAAGCTTTGGAGCAAGGATTGTTCAAGGTCAAAGAACTCAAGTTATCAATCGAGTCGGCCTCCAGGTATTTTTGCTAATTGAGTTCTTAATAAATGAACTAATGAGATTAATTTATTCGTGCATAAATTAATATAATCTATAGAGTATCTCAAAGGTTTTATGAAATTTTTGTTATACACGATCCGACTCCCCGCCACGCTTTCGTATCCGAAGTCTGTAGAATCTGAAATGATGGGTTACACTCATGAAAATATAATCAAATTGTTGATTATATTTTTGACCAAAAATAACGGTAGTTGATAAATATGAAAATATGAGATATTTTGATTATATTAATTAATTGAGAAGGTCTCGGTTCAATTTACAATATTTTGACCTACCCTACGGCGGCACTATATTCGTAGTAAATTGGATTATCGTTGGCACCTAAAATTAAAACATGATTTATGTATTTTTCATGTGCATCATGCATCATATTTAATTGTGCCTAAATTCACATGTTTTGATATTGATGTACATAAATTGATTAGATGAATATTCTACTTATTTCCAGCAATATGTCAAATCCTAAAATCTCACTACATGAAACTGAAACACTGACTAGAGATAAACTGTGCAAAGTGGTAAAGTAACATAAACAACTTACATTCATGTGATGAATATAAGTTTGTCCCAAATGGAGGATTGTCCTCCTGTCCCTAACGAAACCACTGTAGCTAACTATTAGCTAGGGTTGTGCGTGGTAATTCACAAGAAGCCTGAAGGCATGGAGACAGCTCATGAGATAATGCAGTCATCAGATACCGTATCTGGAAATTCATAAAACAAAAGGGTTGGCTAAATACTGTGAGAGCCTTGAGTGGAAGACAAAAGGAAAGTCGTTTCCACCAAAATAAAGGAAAAGAATCAAGCAAATATGATTTGCTAGTTCTAAAAATATGTTTAGTAAAAAGAGGGGATTCCTTATTCCTAGATAGTAGTTTCGGGAGTTGCTGCTCATGTTTGTTTTCTTTATTAAGTTTTAGCCCTTAAATGGAAATTGTTTCCACCTAAACAAAGAAAAAGAATCAAAGTAAATAAGATTTACTAATTCTAGAAACATCTTTAGTATAGGGTGATTCCTCGTCCTGGATAGTTGATTCAGGAGCAACTAATCATGTTTTGGTTTTCTTTGCAAAATATTAGTTAGTACAAAGAACTTACCGTCAGGGACTACATGATGAAAGTGGGAATACCGCAAGGATATCGGCAAAAGCAGTGGGAGAAGTTAGACTTCAATTTTGGAAATACCTTATTGTGAACAATGTTTATTTCCCTCCAAGCATAAAGAGAAATTTGATTTTTAATTCCAAATTATTTGAACAATTGCCTTTAATAATAATCTAGTCCACATCTTTCAGAATTGTTTCGATATATGTTCTGGATATTTAGAAAATGGTTTATACCATTTAAACCGATGCTAGACTCACTGCGAAATGTTGAAATGTTGAAAAGTTGTCGAACCTAAGAATAAGAAGCAAAGGATCTCTCACGATAAATAACACATACATATGTGGCATCTTAGACTTTGTCATATTAGCCTAAATAAGATTTAAAGACTGGTAAAGGATGGTCCTTTACAAGAACTAAAAGTTAGTAAGCTTCTAGCCTATGAATCTTGTCTGGGAAGCAAAATGGCCACGGGGCCTTCCATGTCGAAAGGAGTAAGAGCCACAGAACCTCTTCAGCTAATACATTCAGATGTATGTGGACCGTTAAACGTCCAAG